TGGCTGGAAGCGAAGGGTGGATGCAGCCATGCGCCCCCGTCGGCGGGGATGGGTTGTGAGGCGTATCGACCCATAGACTTTTACACACACACACGAATATACCATACTTGAGGAATTAAAAAAAAACGAATAAATCAATAATCTTCACTCTAGATTCAATTTATGTCACTTTAACGCAGTTTGCCTCTGTCCCATCAAACAAAATATGGCCCTGGAGTAGAACTAACGCCGGCGCAGTGCCCTTCTTCGGCGCCTCCTACAGAATGCTCTGCCGGATGATCTCCTTTTCCTTCAGCTTCGCCCTTGGCTCCTTGAGGGCTTCCCTCCTTGACTCTTCCCTCATTAGGGCACTGGCTGACTGTAAGCTAATTGTACGTGTATGTGTATGTATGTATGTATGTATGTATGTGTATGTATGTATGTATGTATGTATGTGTGTGTGTGTATATATATATATATATATATATATATATATATATATATATATATATATATATATATATATATATATATATATATATATAAGCATGTAAGTATGTAAGTAAGCGTGAGTGTGTGATCATGCCAGTTTGCGCTCTTTTGGCATACCAGTTGATTTTTAACGGAATTATTCCTCGGTAAAGGATTTTGTATTTCAACGAATGTATACCACATTTTTTTAAAGCATACGGGCGCACTTTGTTTACTGATCATATCTGTCCCTTGAAAGTCCACGAGCTAAAAGAAAGAAAATAAGAAGAGAAAGTGGACGTTACTGTATAACATGAAAAGCTAAATAATTACTAACCGTTTACGCCCATTTCCGTCGGCAATTCCGCCTTTTTGCAGTGCACTACACCTTTACGTAGCGCCGTGAAGTAAGTGACTGAACTGGAAATCTCGCCGTGCGCCCTTTTACGAGTGATTTTGTGGGGACAGGTTGCCACCAACGAATTTTTGTGCACTGCCATTTTTGGATGTGGAGGAAGGAAGAAAAATAATATTAAGAAATGCGGCAAAAATCAAGCAATGGGGAAAAAAAAATTATGAAATGGGGGAAAAATTTGCGGAAAAAATAAGCAATGGGGGAGAGATTAGAAACGGGGGGGGGGGGGGGGAATAAGAAAAAGAGGAAATTTTTGAAATGGAGGATATGGGGAAACAAAGAGATGGGACGAAAATGGGAGATGGGGGGAAAATCAAGAAATAGGGGGGTTCATGAGAAAAAAAATTACAAATGAGGGGAAACGAAAGGAAGCAAACGCAATGAAAAGGAAAGAAGGAATAAAGGAAGAGGAAAAGCAGTAAAAGAGAAAAGGAGAGCGAATGAAGGAAGAGGAATAGGAGAAGAGGAAAGTAGAGATAATGAAAAGTGAAAGAAAAAGAAAAAGAAAACACAAAAAACTAATAATACGAAAAATAGAAGAAAGCAAAGGAATAAGAAATGGAAAACAGAAGGAATAAAGAGGAAAACAAAATGAAAGAAGAGGTTAGCAGAATGAATGAAAAAAAGATAAAAAATATTTGAATTTTCATGTCTGTGAATTCTGTGTTTGTAAGTGCATGTGTGCAGGTGTGTATTCCAGCCATGAATATTGAACAGTCGTGTGTGAGCAAAAGCACTTTCTCACCCGCGAAATGAAGCATCAGGCAGATATTGACACAGTGGATGTTTAACCTGCCCTGCAATGTCAAGCCAACCGAGTTCTTACTTGCTGGTACCGACGCCCAGCCGGTCCCTGCAATGATTTCTTTGACTCTGAAAAAAAATTAAGATCGTCAGTAATAGAAGCATAAACAGGTGAAAAAAAAATCTCTAGATAAAAGGAAATGAAAGAGAGAGATATACCAACAAACAGACAAACAAAAAATGGGGTGAGAAAGAATCTTAAAAGAAAGGAAAATGAAAGAGAGAAAAACAGCAACAACAGAAAAAAGAAAGAAAAAAGAAAAGAAAAACGAGAGAGAAAAAAAGAAAGAAAAAAGAAACGAAAAACGAGAGAGAAAAAAGAAAGAAAGAAAAGGAAGAGAAAAAAAGCAAAAGCAAAAAGAAAAAGAAATTGAGACACAATATTAAAAAAAGAAAAGAAAAAGGAAAAAAGAAGAAAAAGAAAATCAGCTCAAAACAGACATCAAAAACTGTCTTCGCCTCAGTTCAATAACTTACCTATCAAAACAAACTCTTCTCAGTTTGACCATGTGAGCATTCCTTTTATTACTGATATAAGGAAATTTTCTCTTCCTGCAGCATACGTGGAGGATATAGTTTCCCTTTTCGGCCTTCAACAGCTGGAACGAAAAAAAAGAAAAAAAATACTTTACCATTCCAGAAAAAAATACTTTTCATTCCAGAAAAAATATGTTCATAAAGGACAGAAAGAAAAGTTGGTGGAGGAGGGGAGGAAGAAGGAGGAGGAAGAGGAGGAGGAAGAGGAGGAGGAAGAGAAGGAGGAAGAGGAGGAGGAAGAGGAGGAGGAAGAGGAGGAGGAAGAGGAGGAGGAAGAGGAGGAGGAAGAGGAGG